TACTGCTAAAGTATTGCACACTAATTATGGGAACATGGACCTGGTGGTTTGGGTAGAAGAGGATATTGGGGAAAACAGATATGATTGTTCCTAGTGCATTAGAAACAGTTTTCAACAATCAAACGAAATAGCATTTGATTCAAAATAATGAATTTTATACCCTATGAAAGCATTATATCGGAATGCGCATGTGTCTGACTGAAACGGACTGTTCCAGGAACAAAACAATTTTTTTTAAATTACTTATATTACGTCTGTTAATACAGCACGTCATCATTCCCCTATTTCTACTCGGTATCTTAAAAAGGGACAACTCGACAATGAATAACTTCTAAAATACATTTAAAACATTTTATGACTGTTTTCGAAAAATTATATTTTCCGAACAATATAATCAGATGTTTACAGTTAAGTAAACAGAAGAAATTTAATTCCTAAAGAGTAAACTCGCTCCTGATAACTTTTACGTCGGCGAGGCTCCGGTGAACTCCGAGGAAGGGCGTCGCGACGCCACAAGTGGCGCCTCTTCTCGGAAAATCGCGACACCACCAGCCCGCCTGCAGTAATGTGTACTTAAAAAGTCGGAAAAGTTAATTAATTATTTTAAACAGTTTAAAATGCGCCGCTCGAACGCGATTTCCCTTTGAATGATAATGTGAAAAGTTGCCGGGAACTTTCCCAAGTTTATTTATTACGTTTTCTTTTTGCCCTGCCAACTCCGAACAGCTGTTTTATGCCTTGTTTATGAATGCCAATTACTACGAGTGCCAGTTTTAGGCTTTAAAGATTCGTAATTCGATTGTAGCTCTCTTGTTACCGTGTTTTTTATTGCTGAAATACGAGATGAGTAAGATACACGTTCACTGAAATAAAATGTAATAAAATGATTTAATAAACCAGATCTTCTTTGCTTTTGGATTTGGAAGTTCGACAGTTGAGTTGGCAATCTTAATTTGTGGAAGTTGTGTTACAAAATTAAAAAAAAACTTGTGCCTAACTAAAAAAAAATATTATTATATATAAACTAGATTAATTGATTACAGCTTTATAGTAGCTTTCTTAGAATTAGTTTTCTTGTATTTTTCTTATTCAATGTTTCCATTCTACGAAAAAGTGCTTATAATCAAAGTTACTACTACACGTTAAAATTTAAAATTTCTTGCTTAATTCCTCGAAGATCATGTTGATATTATCGACTTTGGGTACCATCATATTTTATTATTTAACTTAAATCTCGTACACCTGTTTTTCTCCGGCATGTTTTCATATTATTTTAGGAGATCTCATCCTGAGCTGATATTTTATTATAGTGTTATTAATAAAACTTGTATGTAATAAACTGGTATGGTCATATTTTGGCCTTATCTTTGTTTTCTTAGGTTATCACACCTTGTTTGTCTGATATTCTTATCGCTCTACCTACATGATGGTGGCCTTACACAGGTACAGCCTGATAAAGAGTATACACCACATACTGCTATATCACGAAAATTGTACAGAAAATATAAAATATCCGTGTGTAGTGTTTTCTACGTAATCTAAAGACAGGAAATACATTTTTCAGATCTCTTCCACAAAATCTTCTAATACTTAATCTGATCATTTGTAGTATCGTATGATTTTTTTAATCTCAGAGATAAGAAACGGTCCTGCTCTGAATTTGATTTGCCATCGTACATATTCGTAGTACCACTTCAGAAAAAATGTCGAAGTGTCTTGCGAACCGAAAATATCATCACATTTGCTGATAAACTCAGAGGAATATTTTTATGCTAGGAAAATTATTATCTGGCCAATTCCGATACTTACCAGATATCAATCGCGCGTGTAAATTTGGGAATTACCTCAGTATCTTGGAGTTATCGACATGTAGGTGATCAAAACACGGTTAAATTTATTGAAACTGGACGAAATATACTAAATCATTATTAAAAATCGATAAAAGTGTTCATCGGATCAGTAAAAACAAAAATAAACATTTATATGTAAAAATTTATATGTTGAATCTAAAGAAAGCTCTTTGTAGAAGATCGCTTATTATTTTTATTACTGTCTTGAGTTAATATATATTTGTTTTTCATAACAACCTTAATAAAATCGGTTGCCCCAAATATGTTACATTGTTGAAAATAGGTTCTGTTCCTCAGGGAACTATATTAGGCCTAATTCTATTTTTACTGTATACCAATAAGTTTAGTAACATAGTTCGTGACACCTCTTGTGTCATGTATTTTGATGAAACATTTTTGTTAATACAGGTAGATATGTGTTATCAGAACACAGGATTTCATTGAATTGTTGCTTCTTCTGAAGTACCTCAGGGTTCAATTCTTAGCCCGCTGTTATTCAATGTGCGCATTAATGATATTTGTGAGAATCTTCTAACTACGATTCTTTTATATGCAGCTGACCTCAAACTGTACACCTCTGTTACATCTCTTGAGGTATGTCATACTAGAAAAATAGCTGTCAAGAATGAACAAGTGATGTCAAAATATAAACTGCCACCGAACATATCAAAATATTGTATTATGACATTCACAAAAAAATTGAAGCCTATTTTGTTATGCGTATAATAAAGGTAGGTACAGAAATTGTGTCGCATGGTTCTGAATTTAAAGAATTTGGTGGGTGTAATTTTTGGTATCAAATAACCTTTTAACATAAGTTACATTATACCTATTGCTAATAAAAGAATCTTAAAAAGTTTGCGTAGGAGTTTGTCAGGTTAAAACTTGAGTATATTGTTTCCACGTTTTCATCAAACTAATATTGAGAGAAATATGCTTTATTGGCGACTGATTCCTCCGATCTAGTAGACATTATTAGAGAGATATGTGCTAAAGATGTTGTGAGGTCAATATCATTTACGTACAAAAGAAAGATAATGGGGTTCAAGGTGGATCCTTGAGGATCACTCATACTTACATCTAAGCACCACTTCTCATTGTAAGTTGACAAAAATGCTGCAAATTTACATACTGTTGTCTACGTTCAAGGGAATGCGACTACCCAATTTAAGGATGTCCCAATAATCCGTAATCGGTTAATTTAGATAATATTAACTTGTAATAAACGCCAAGATCGCAGATTATTGCATCGGAACACTGTCCCGCACCAATACAGTCTAATATTTTATCAATATAGTAGTGTACAGCTGTTATTATATTACAATTCTTTAGAAAGTAATCTTATGCTCAAATACACAACAAAAAAAGGGTCATTTATGGTTTTTTAGAAAATTGACGGCTAAATCAGAAATTTTCACGAAATGGCTAATGTTAAGCATGACTTTTACAGTTCGATATACCCAGAAGAATCCTGTATAAAAAAAATGTTTCAAAGAAAAAGAGTAGTTTTGAAAAAAAAACTGTTTTTAAGTGATTACAGACTGCACAAAAATTAATTAGAAATTTGTCTCAAAAAATGATATGAATCGGGGTCGAAATCTGGTTTGAGCCATCAACAATTTTAATTTAATTAAAAGTTGATGAACAGAAGCATAGGATGAAAAAGTCGAATCGCGCTGGAAACAATTGGATTTTGTTTTCTTCAATGTCTGGACGGTTTTTCAAAAAAAAAAAACTCGAAAATTTTTCGAAATTTTTTTTTGTTTTCACCAATTTAAACGTTATTTGCGATAAAAATGTGAGAAAGCCTCAACAAAATTTTGTTCCACTTTAATCATGATTATGAAGTGTTTAAGCTCAAAAAACGTGGTCCTTTAATTTTTTCCAAAGTTTGACTGTTTGAAACAAGGAAACGGTTCGCTAGATCGAGATGAAACTTCACAGGGTTCTTCTGGGTATATCGAACTGTAAAAGTCTTGCATAATGTTAGACTTTTCGTGAATATTTCTAATTTAGCCGTTAATTTTCTAAAATACCATAAATTAACTTTTTTTCCTGTTTTTTAAAATTCGAAACATTTCGAAAAATTTTTTTCCGAAATGTTGCGGCAGCATGTACGACCATTTGTCGCCGAGATATCGATGATTGAAGACAAAATTATCCTTTTCCATTAAAAGTTCGATATTTCGATGAAAAATGGTTGTATCGAAATTTAAAAAAATTAAATTGAGGGTGAATAAACAAACTATCTGGTCTATGCAATGGCTTAACTGAAAAAAAATTTGCCAGGTCCGTGGACTTGGCAAATTTAGAAGAAAAAAACTAATTTCAAAATTTATTTATCGCGCTAATTCCTAGAATTGCATGATAACCATGCCCCTAAAAAATTTCGACCGAAAGATCTAAAAACTAGAATCTTAGAGCTTCAAAATGCTTTTTTTAATTCCTGATACGACCATTTTTCACCTAAATACGGTCTGTCAAAAATCACGGAAAAATTTAGGAAATTCTTTTGACCTGTTAATTGTTTGCATTAGTGTATGTATTATTTGCAATTTTTTAATGCTTGTAGAAAAGTTCCGGCTTTATTGTATATGTTAGTGGGTCAACAATAGCACTTTTATTGAAATTTGGTTCCTTTAAAACTGGCGTTTGTAAAGTTTTATGATGTTAAGTGTGTCTGTTTTAGATTCCTTACTTGCCTTTTATATTTATTTGTTCTAAATAAATAAATATGAAGAGTATTTCTGGTCTTTAAACCACAATAACCTTTTGCTTGAAGATCTGCTTAAATTTTTAATATTCTATAATGTTAGAGTCTACTCTGTGATAGTTCTCACTTATTCATTTCCTCGTGCAATATTTTGCTAAAGTATGTACGCTGCTTGAGGACGTCGTCATCCATTGCAACAAACGACGACAATCTCCAATTCATTAGCGTCGTGGCGTGAGAAACGCATCTGCCAGCGTGTGAGTACGGGAATGCGATCATCGGGGACCAGACTCGAGCGTCTTGTCGCGCGGCACACCGGAGCGGACCGGAGCAACGCATCCGGGAGGCCAGCGGGCCTTCACCCCCACTCCGGTGATGTATGCGCGGCGCATCATCCCTTCTACACGGGGCGCTTAGGACCGCTGGCTAGTGAGTAGCCACGACGGAGCCCGGAAGCGACCGAAGACGGCCGATCGGCGCGGCCGACAGAATCGCCTGAAAAGCTGGCCGTGGAATCACACGCGTTTGGACTTGTGACCACACAGCATCTGGTCCAGCGAGCTCTATGGACACACGCGCGCCGCTCTGACACTTCCGGTTTGCCAGTTGTCGCGGCCGATGCGATCTCGGACGGGTCTGGTGGTGTTTCTCGACAGTGTGGTGTTCCTTTCAGTGACGATGATCTAGTGGCCAGGATGGACTAAGTTTTTTTTACTGGTGCGGGCGCAAGGACAATTCAACGTTTTCAAAATGAGAATCAAAATGCCAGCGGTCAGGATCGCACAAGGTGAGTGAGTAGCCTCAGAAAGCGCTGAAACTGAAAAGTGTCCCCACACCGCGCCAACGGCAAAACAACTCCCAATCTACGCACTACACGAGTTTTTTAAACTTCCAGACTTTTTATCCTAAAACATTTTCCAAGTTTTCAGAAATTCCCAGAAATCATAAGCACTACCATAACTTTTAGATAATTTAGAACTAACCACATGATTTTGACGTTTTATTGGAAATAGAATTGCAATTAGCACTGAAAATGTTTTGAAATGTGTCAAAAACAGAGGTACGCACTCGCCGTAACTTTCTATTTCGAGACTCCGGGAATATTCCGGCTTCTCGAGTTTGATCAGTTGCAGCCACGTGATTCCCGTTTTTTAATTAGACAGGCAGCACCTCCTCTACCCCTCCTCCACCTCCTCGAGCCGTAATAACAAAAAGTTATAATAATGATTTTTCAGCAAGGAGACTTGCGCGGGTTTTTCGTCTTTCAGCTTCTTTCAGTCCCCTTCAGATTTCCTCGCGGTACGCTGCCTCGTGTACAAATTATTTTTAATTCGCGTTCTGCAGTTGATTTGCCGGTCTTCCTACGGTTTTCGGTGGTTGGATTCAGTGCTAGGGTGACAGAATAACGTTTCCTAGGATGCCGGAAAGTGAAAACAGTGACGGAAAAAGCGCCGATGCGCGTTTTTCTCTACTTTTAAAGCTACTACGGTATGTACTTTTTAAAAACTTAGTGAACAACTTCAAATAAAATTATTTACTATTTTATAAAAAAAATACTAAATATACCATTTTTGTGGAGTGTATTTAAGATATTGAATATATAGAATTTTATACATTTTATAGTCCTACTAACTACTAATTTTTAGAGAATTCAAACTTTATTGAACGGTAATGGTTTGGCTATGCAGAAAAGGCCTTAACTTGCTATGTTAATTTTAATCACAAGACTGTCTAGCAGTTCATTAAAATGTAAATTATATTAGAATGACACAGTGGAACATCTAATCCATTTTAATTCGGAGAACATAGTCCAATGAAAGTAAAACAATAGAGGTTCTTTTGTTGTAACACCACCCATAAATGCAAATAGTAACATACTTTTTCGACAGTGATTTTTATTGTGTATCAAATTTTATTAAGCATGATTCAAAAGATATTTTTTACTTCACAGAAATATAAGATTGGTTATATTTAGATGCTTGTGCGCTTTAGATGAATGTGTGACACATTTTTAGCAGAAATATAATAGGTTTATCATCTACCTTGATAAAAAAGAAATCGGCATTTGCTTTATAGATGTAAATATTGTGAATCAAGAAATATGTTTTGTTTCGGAAAAACCCTGGTTATGTTTGTAAAAAAATAGAGTATAGTTTGATGCGAGATAATTTTTCCTTCATGTATTATGATGGTAACTAATTTTGTATTTATTAATTAAAAAAAGTCTAGTCCGAAAGAATCCTACTAATATGCTGGCAAAATTTGCTGCTTTGATTTGCTAAATCGGTATTTTGAAGGAAACCTATAATTTTCTTTTTAATTTTACAAGAATAGAACAATTTACAAATTACAAGAATGGTAAAAGAATAATTTTCAACTTGCTCTATCTTGGCAACAACCAGTATCAACTATTTTAAAAAAGTACCAAAAACTGAGGTTGTTATAAAAAAAACTTTTGAGACAATCTGTAGGTATATATATACTTTTTGATAAAAAAGTGGTAATCGAACATTCTTTTGAATTTGATGTACGAAATTTATTCCAAGTTGCGGCACACGGTACATATTCAAACATTAGAAAACGTTTATAAAATATGTTATTTAAAAAATTGATAATCATTATCCCGAGGGTGGTTTCCCCAATAATTTATTACTGTTGTGATTTAATATGCGGTCATTAGAAAAACTGATTATAATTATAATTCTCTTGCCTACATAGATTACTATACAGTATGTATCTAGGTAGTTTTCGTTGAATTCTTATATTACTAAAATGTTATCACCTTTTAATAAACACAGTATACTAATTTTGCCATAACTTCTATATTATCCTTTTTCGTACTTCAAACTTTGTCGCAAGATCATATATAAAAGTAGCATCATTTTCAGTTCTTCCACATTTTCACACCCCATTCACTCTAACCGTAGACATAAATTTTTGTAAATAATCAAAGTGGGCCACTTAATTACTTAGGCAACTTTTAATTCCGAACAATTTTCTTTTGGACATCCCGTACATGAAATACTCTCCATAGCAACTTCATTTTAAATACAAACATTTTAACAAGTGTTTTTTTTGTAAATTAAAAAATTTTTTCTTTTTATTCACTTCAAAAATATATTGTTTAATATCTAAGATTTATTTTCAAGTTCTAAGTCTAGAATAGCGTCTACACAAATTATTTTACAGTCCTGTAAGTCAAACAAATGTGCTTCTAAAATCCCCTGTTTAGTCCATAATGTCTGCTTGCACCTCAGTTAATCAAAATGATGACATGTTCTTGTTTTTGCATTTTACTCATAGAATTAGTGTATTTGTTGCACCATTTTATAACTCTGATTTAGGTAATGGTTTGTTTATTGTTTTACCATTTTCTACTATTTTCTATGTCTATTAATTAAAAATATTGTTAATTTGTAATTTATACTGTCCTGTAATTAGATTATTCTGTTGGGCGCCAAACTTCTGTTTTAATTATTATAAATAGACAGCATAAAACACTGATACAATACCGCAAGTCCTTCTCTTAGATTAATGCAGTGTAATTTACATACAAGTTCGAAGTGTACAAAAACTTCCTTGTAATGACTCCAGTCGCGTGCCGGTTCCACACACCAATTTAAGCCTTTTTTGTGTGACACGAGCGACCCGAAACCCGTTAATAGAGGAGCATCTTCTTTTAATAACCCCTTGTATACGTGCAGTAATCTTGCGCTCGTGTCCGGCTACCTGTACGACGGACGTAGAGGATAGTTTTTTCCGAGCGGAGTGAAGCAAGGGTAAAGTCAGGTTAACCCTTTTCGTATTCGCACGGTGATATTGGTCATTTCGTGGTCACAAGAATGGCTGTCTAGGAAGTAGTAACGGTCAGTTAATTGTTCCTATTGTTGTGTGTGGAAATTTTTCTGTAAAAAAATGGACCTGGTTTGACTTTTCGGGGCTAGGATGGAGTACATTATAACTCCAGCAAAGTCGGTTTGAGTTAGAGATGTTAAAGGAATGTGTGTTATGTCTAGATTGCATTAGATTATATATGAAATTAATTTATACCTTAAAATTGGGTAAAAATGGGATTACTATGTGACTATTATTATATCAGAACGGGAAACCTATCCAGTATTTTTAATTTGAAACTTTTTAATATAATTCTAGTAGTAGACAATTTTTAAAGTTGCAATTAGATTAGTATACAACAGAAATGGACTAGAGTAGGAATATATTGTTATGTAACAAGGAAGCGTGTCAAAATATCAATGTTCTGGTAAACGGCATATTTTAATCTTAATTAAGGGCGGTGCGGCGTTTATTTGCGCGATATTTTGTCTAGCATTTCAGAAAATCTAAGCAAGTTAGAAGCAATATTTCTTCACTGTACCACGTGTATAAGTTTCTTTAGGGTGTAAGACAACTGACAATACATTCAAAATAAGGAAAAAAGCATTTTTTTACTTCGTGTGTTCGTCTTAACATTTCCTGAATTTTGCACGCCTGTTGAACATACAGAAAATCACATACGGTATTATAAACATAATCACACCCCACAGAATGCGTTTAGGAAACTATTAACACATGCATTAATCACAATTATTGAGTATCTTTATAAATTTGCTGTACAAAAGAGGAAAGGTACATTTTCTGATGTTTACCTGTTCTACGTGATTTTTCAATGCGAAAAATTAAGGGAAATTGTTTAGTTTAGCGTTTCGCTTCTTCACTTACTGGATGGATCTACTTGTTCTATCACTGTCTTACTAAAAGTATGATTTCTTGTTAAATGACTCCCTCTTTACATAATCCAGGATTATGATTAGTGTTTCAAAAATATTTATTATATTTCCTATATATTGATAAAACCTACATAAAACGATTTTTTGCTACAACAAAATGTTCTTAGCCCTTATAGAAAAATATTGACACAAGTAAATAATCCCTCATTCGGGTTAAATTGTGACGTTGTCTTTCCTTTATATAGCTTTTATGTCACATATATTCAAATGGCCTAAAAAACAAACAAATTTATATAGTTCAAACTGTAAATTTTTAGATAAATTATTTTATTTAAATAGACATTTTTGATACACTGAGAGATTTTCTGAGAATGAATAAAAGGCAGCATATTTTAACCAAAAATAACACCTCTGCTTTGAATGTTTCTAATTCTATTTACTTTTCCATCACTACTTTATTACTTTGTTTGTAAGTAATTCGCTACTGGTTTTTGATAACAGCGTCAAATACAAATGTCAAATTGTGCTCGCTATTGTCAACCAACCTTCTTTTTCGCTTTGTTTTCAGTAGTTAACAAATTCTGTTACGAAAGTGTAAATCACTAACTTTCGTACAATTTATTTCAAATGTATATTTTCTAATGCATTTTTGAATGTATTTCAATCGATACATGAAATAAGGATACAAGTATGGTGAGTTGTACAGACTTCTCCCATTCTGTAAATTGTGATTGTACAGAAACGAGCTACTGAGCAACTACTTTTATGTATGTAGACTGAGGAAGGTCTGAAATAAATGCTATATTTTTTCTTCTAATCCGTGTGTTACTGAAAAAAGTAATTTTAGTAATTTCTTTTTCTGAGCTCCACAAAGAATTATTATTATTTGGCTTTTTTATCAAATAAATCAAACATTTAGTAGCAATAAAATCAGATTTGTATCAAAAATGCGTTCGCGATGATTGACAATTAATAAAATAATGAATTACCTGGAAGTCGTTAGAGGTATAAAAAGTTTACTAGACGGAAAATATTTGAAATAAACCTTTATTTTTAAGAT